ATGGCCAGACTTCATCTCACCTACTTTGGTCATGTGGTCAGAAAGGACCATTCCTTGGAGAAGGATATATCATGATTGGTAAAGTGGAGGGTCAACGAAAAAGGGGAAAGCCCTCAACAAGATGGATTGATACAGTGGCTGCAATGATGGGCTCAAGGATTGTGAGGCTGGCACAGAACGAGGCAGTGTTTCATTCTGTCATACATAGGGTCACTGTTGGAGCTTACTTGACAGTCCCTAACAACAACAACAACAACAACATGGATATTGAATGTTTCTCTTATCTAGTGTTGCAAAACAAGCCTACCTAAATGTATGATGAAAATGAATATTATATTATAGGGTAACATAGGTATTATAGATAACATAGAACTTGCAACTTTACCTTCAGCTCTACTTAATTGTATAAGCTCAAAGGGGAGCTGGGATTCACCTGAAAGAAATACAGACTGCTGGTTTGAATGCATTAGCCCTGTCTATGGAGTATTGGGGGCTCAGGTAAAAAAACCTGAACACCACCCAGAATCTTTCTAGTCAGGAAATTTGCATTTGAAAAGACATGCAGACCCACTCAGAACTGCTAAAAGAAGAGATGATTTGCATTTGAAGGAACGACTTACAGAAAAAAAGAAATTGTTTCGCTTTTTGACTTTTGAGCAAGTGGTTTGCCTTTGGGTGCATCGAGGCAGGAAAAATCAGTGCCCATCAGAAGAACCCCCTTCTAGGACTGGAAGTTAAAGGGAGCTGCGAGTAGGCAGCCTAGTTTGCTTGCTTGTAATGACCACCTGGGTCCAGTCCACTTGATGAGTGGAAGTGGGAGAGGTGCAGCAATGGAGAGGCTCAGTTTGGACATGTTCCATTGGCGTCCATTGACCTAGCCCACTGAGGCTACGGATGAGGGAGAGAACCAGCTGACGGGTCCTAAGTGAGGGGAGTTGGATAGACTCCTAAGACTAGGAGTAAAGCCCACTGACTTATCCCATAGGCGCTAGGAAAGAGAGATTGAGAAGGGGATGGCTGGTCTGAAGTACAGGGAAGAGTGTGGACTCCTGAGTCTATGGCTAGTACCCATTGACCTAGCCCACTGGAGCTAGGGATGAGCTGACCCAAACTTGACCAAATTGAAAGAGAGAGATGTTTGACACCATAAGCTGGTATAAATTACTGCAATTTGATGGCTTTCGCTGGACTGGACTTTGCTAATGGATGCAGACACTCAAAAGTTCCAAGCAGAACAGAATATTCCTCAGACCAAGGAACTTGCTTGTCTCCTCAGAGCACTGGTTTGATTGGGGGATGGGGAGAGGGAGGAACCACACACAAAAAAACCAAACCCACTGCCATTGAGTCAATTCCTACTCATAGAATCTCACAGGGCAGAGTTGAACTGTCCTGCAGTTTCTAAGACTGATTGACACGGTGGCTGCGATGATAGGCTCAAGTATAGCAGGGATCATGGAGCTGGTGCGAGATTGGGCAGTGTTTCGTTCTGCTGTGCATGGGGTTGCTATGAATCGGAAACAACCGGACGACACCTAACAACAACAACAACATAGTTTCTAAGGTTGTAACTTTTTTTTTTTTAAACTGTGATCTGGGTGAAAGTTTGCAGAGCAAATTCATTTTCCATACAGCACCTCCTATACATTTTGTTTCATGATATTGACTGCAATTCCCCATAATGTAACAGCTCTCTTCCCACTTCCTCCCCATAGTTAGCTCTTTCCTGTGTCCTTCCCTCCCATGCACTCCCACCCCTCAAGTTATCTCCCTATGCAAAGACTGCCCTTTTGTTCTCCTACAATTAATTGTGCCAAGGAGTTTATCTACCTGATATAAATGTTTACCCCTTTTGCCTGTCCACTGTTTGGCTGGAAGCCACAGGAGTGAGTTCAGTTCCACACCTGAAGGGTAACTAGGGGCCATAGTCTTGGGGGTCTCACCAGGCTCCATCAGACCAGTAAACTCAGTCATTTTTTATGATTTGAGTTTTGTTCTACATTGTTCTCCCACTCTATCCAGGATCTCTTGTACTGATCCCTTTCTGAGTGGTTGACAGTAGTAGTCGGGCACCATCTAGTTGTTCTGGTCTGATGGTCATATAGGCTGAGGATCACATGGCCTGCCAGTCCTTGGACTAATCGTTTCCGTGCATCTTTGGTTTTCTTCATTCTTCTTTGCTTTGGACAAGGAGAGACCCATCATTGCATCTAGATGGCAGCTTCCAAGTTTTTAAGACTCCAGTTACTACTTACTAAAGTAGAATGTGGAGCAATGTTTTTGTGTAGTGTTATGCCAACTGAGCTTGATGTCCCCTGTGACAAGGTTGTAATATTTATGGCAGCTGATTGTGTTAGCTTTCTCCTGCAGTGTCTGGTGGGTTTGAACTGCCAAACTTTTGGTTAGCAGCTGAATACTTCAACCACTGCACCACCAGAGCCCCTAAGCCACTGGTTTGATAGGGATGCATAACTTAACATTGGCTATAGAGGGAGAAAAAGGCATGAAGTGGCTGGCTAGCATGCTTTCATGGGTGTGTTTACAATCAAAATAAGGGGGACAAGGCAGGATCCCCACTAAAGAGTTTCCTCTATTCCTGATGGGTCTGGGGAAGAGAAGGTGGGGAAAGATGCTGATACTCAGTTGTGTTGTTAACAGGGTTGTGATTGTAAAAACTGTAATTGTGGAAGCTAAAAGTGTAAACCAAAACCAAACCCAACCCAATGCCATCCAGTCAATTCTGACTCATAGTGACCCCACTGGGTTTCCAAAGTGGTCAATCTTTACAGAAGTATATTGTTCCATCTTCCTTCTGTGGAGTGGTTGGTGGTGTGAAAGTGTGGCCTAAGGGGGGAGGCACTGCTGGGTTAGAGCAGTGTCAAAACCTAAAGCCCCTTAAACATTTTCCTATGCTGATACCTTGTGAGTCTCAGAGCAAGGAATAATCTCTCAGTTAAATTTAATCAGACACCAGAAAGGGTGAAGCTGACTTTTGGAGAACCTGACCACATCAGATGGATACTTGCAGTAGACCTGAAATGCTAGTACCCTAGTATCCAAAACCTGAGGACTCTGCCCTACTAAAAGATTAATTGTAAATGACTGTTTTGGACTGGTAGTCATTGGGGTGGGGAGGTTATCCTTTAAGTATGAAAGAACTATGGCTAGAAAAGCCAGGGGGTGGCTGTGGTGTGACAGACCACTTTTATATGGCTTCTCAAGTCTTGCAACTCACACTAAATGACTGGGTGGGACTATCCAAATGAGGTGCTTGTGGACTAAGGGAATAGCTTGTTAATAATGCAAATAAGGTACATGGCACACTTGTGGGGGTGGAACCATGCAAATAAGGTATATGGAACCTTAATGAGGTGATTGGTTAGTTTTGCCATCCCCTAATCTTGAAATGAGCCATCCCACAAGCAGATGGAGGGAACTTCACTAACACCAAGAAGAAGAGATGGGAGTAGAGCTTGTCCTTTGGCTCCAGATCCTTGCACTGAGAACCTCCTAGACCCAGAAGAGTTTTAATACCAGAGATAGTGCAAGATGGTGAGAAGTAGCGGCAGACAATGGCAGCAGAACCAGAAGACCAGTGCAAGACATCGCAGTGGGCATCCTAACCCATGGAGCAAGAGCTGAATGGCTTTGGGCAGGCTTCCTGGCAGAGTGAGGTGCCTCTAGAGACCTGTCAATGGAGCTAGGCCTGCTGATGCACAGATCCACCAGGCTTGAGAGGTGAGTGCCTTTGGACCAAGGCTTAGCGGCACAGAGTATGGTACCCATGGGCACTTTTTGGTAAAGCTAAAGAGCTTTATAACACTTGCCTGAGCATGGCAGAGGCCAGGCAACCCAGGAGGCACAAGATGTCCAAGGGGCCGAAGGCCAAGGAGAGGCCTGCCTATGGGCATGGTTGCAAACCTGTCCAGACCAAAGAACTGTATCCTGAGTCTTCCCAATCTGTATTGTAACTTGTTACTTTCCTGATAAACCCCATAACCCTGAGCATGGTCTGTGAGTTCTGTGCAACCATTGCAATGAATTATTGAACCCAGCAGAAAAGCAGACAATGCACGCTCCTCCCTTCCCCTGCAGGCCCCCACGCCCTTGCTGGACAGCCTCTGTCCTTGGAAAGCCTTTCCCACCTGAGTCCTTTCCCAGCCCTGGCTCCCTTCCCAGACCGGCCTGGAGCTGTGGATCATGGCTGCTCACATGAATTGCACCCCAGGCAGCTAGAGCCCCCCACCAGCCAGGGGCTGAGAACTGCCAGCTGGGCAACTGGGCTCAGCCCCAGTGGGGCCTGGTTGGCTTGGCAGTCAGTGGAAAGCCCAGGGCTGATCCCAGCCCCGGCTGGCGGCCAAAGCCGCCCTGTCCACCCAACAGAAACACGCACACTGGCTGCCTGCCCTGGTGTGTTTCCAGAAGAGAAATTTAATCTAATTTACAGACTTCTAGGTACATCAATAACCAAAAGGTGGCCACTGGAAAAAGTTAAAAGGTCAATCAGCCTTCCCGGTGTTTACCTGGCCCAGGATTGCAAAATAAAAAGATCGACGTTCCTTATTCTCTACACAAAACGCGTTTTTAAAAAAGTGAGAGGTCTAGGGAGCTATACATAGAAAGCAACAGTGAAAAGGGGGGCAGGGGGTAGATTGGGAGTGGAGGGGTCGTCCCACCCCTTGGAGCCCCTGAGGCTCTGGAGGGGCCAGGACACGGCTGTCAGCTCTGAGCTCTTCCCAGCTGAGAAGGCCCTTTGGGGAGGGGGGCGGCCAATGAGGGTTTCCGTGGCATTGTGGGCTCAGTGGGGACCTCACAGTCCCCGAGGGACCCAGCAGAGGGAGCATGGCTTCCTCTGAGCAAGCACCATAACATTACTGGGCTGCTCAACACGGGAACTGGGGGCAGGGGCAGATCCCAGGCCTTGCGAGGTGCGTGCGCCGTGAGCATCTGTGTTTGCATGTGCGTGCATGTGAGAGGACAGTCACAGGGTGAGTAGGAACCAGAATAGGGCTCTTCAGGGTCTTTGCAAATGGCCACGGGTAGCAGACATGGGTTTGCCTGCCTGCTGAGCACAGGAGAACACTGTGTCCCGTGACCGGGTCGGCTGGCACCGAGACCTGGCTGCTGCCTCTTGCTTATGTGGGCTGCATGAAGACACCCTGTGGCCCTAGAGTCCTCAGGCTGGGGTTAGGGCAGCTAGCTGGCTCCCGGCACCCCAGCTGTAGTGTGCCCGGCCCCTGGGGGCACCGGTTTGAGGTTTTGGCTTGCTCCTTTGGAAACGGAAGAGAGGAAAGAGGAGGAGGACACAGAGGAGGAAAGGAGACAGAGGTGGCACGAGAGGGAGTCTGGAATGCTTCTGTGTTAGGGCGCCTCTGCCGCTGCTGTCTGTGCCTGAGGGGCTTGGGGCTCCTCAGGCGGGGGGTCCACTTTGGAGAAATTCATGTCCAGGATGTGCCGCTGTAAGTGCCGCACCCATTCCTCCTGGATGGAGAGGGGGCCCTGGAATTCCACCTCACAGAACCTGTAGGAATGAACAGAGAGGGAGAAGTAGCCACTGCCATCAGGAGAGGCAGAGGTGTAGCCCTTTATGTTCCTGAGCACCCTGGCCAAGTCTTGGGGCTAGAACAAGCCCAGGATTTGAGGGGAGGGTACCCAAAAGCCAAATGTCTCCTAATGGACAGCCACCTCTATCCTTCATGGGGTCACAGGTGGGGTCCCCTGGAGGCTCTGTCTCTGCTCAGGGCCGTCTGCTGGTTCTGGGGCTAGGTTAAGGACTACTTAGCCTCCAAAGTACCTTGTCCATTTTAGGCAGACATGTGATCTGAGATGAGAGAGGGCAAAGTGAAGTTGCCCTTGGCCGGGGGCTCTAGAACTGGAGAAAGTACTAACATACACCCACTGGCCTCCCAAATTCACACACACAACTTGCCCAGACCCCTTCATCCTGTCCTCCTGGCATCAAGTTCAGGTCCAGTTCTGACAGCTTTATAGATATTAAACTCATTCAACCCTCATAGCAGATCGATGAGGTAGGTTTGCTATAGACTCATTTCATAGATTGGAAAATTGAGACATGGAGCAGGTAAGTTCTTGTCAAAGGTCAGAAGCCAGGTAATTATCAGAGTAGGATTTAAATCTAGGACTTGCCAGCTGTAAAGCTTCAGGTCTCAGCCTGATGCTCCATGAGAAGCTCTTAGCCTGGGCCCAGCTACATCCAACAGCAGACTTGGTTCTGTCCAGAGGCTCTGGGCAGCCTGGCCCCCACAGGGTGGTCTCCCTCCCTCCCTACGGGCCATATACCTGCACTTGAGGGTATAGATGTTGCCTACAAACTTGACGAGTGAGGTCTGGGGCGGCCGGGGCACCAGGGAGGGTACTGGCCGGACCCGGGGTGGGGGCTGCCGTGCCTCCTCCAATTTCTGCTGCAGGTCATTGACCTCCTCACTGCCCCGGGCTGAGGCAGCGTCCAGGGGTCGGGCTTGTCGGCGCTCGAATTCTGAGTTGGGGAGAGGGCCAAAGATGATGAGTCAAGGGCCAAGCCATTGGAGAGGTCCCTGCCTTCGGCAACTAGGGGGCAGACACTGGTGGGGGCTGGCTGACAGGACAGTGGGTGGCGGGACACTGCCTAGACAGACGTAAGGACAGCGTGGGATGGTGGACAGATGAATTTTACAGATTATATAAGCAAACTGATCAGGGTATGACAATAACGCACAGACAACTGAATGAGAGTGAGCATGAGGACACTGGGTCAACAGATGCACATGTGGTCACCCAGCTGCCCCACAGCACTCACTGTTGATGTTCTGCCGCTGGTGTTCTTCCGCCTTCACCATGCCTAGTGGGCTGGCTGCCAGAGGCCGCTCCCCGCCATCGGCCGCCCGGCCAGCCTCAGGACCTGGCTCACCCCCGGCACTGCGGCCAACCATGGCGAGGCCACCAGGCGCCAGCCCGAGCGCCAGTCGCTTGTCGCCGTCACGGCCATGGCCTGCACTACGGAACTTCTTGGTGAAGGGGCGGCCACCCTGGATGTAGCTACGGTAAGCGCCCACTTTCTGGGGTCGGTGTTTGATCCACTCGCTCAGTGTTTCGATGGGCGAGCCATTGACGCACCACTCGGTCACGCCGAACTGTCGCAGATGTGCCCGCGCATGGCTGGCCAGAGCCTTGCGGTTTTCAAAATAAAGGCCACACAGCTCGCAGCAGGCCTCGGTGGCTGCAGGTGAAGGGGTGCTACTGAGCCATGGCCCAGAGGAGGCCTGAGGGCCCAGATACCCTGCCCCAGGCCGGAGGCCAACCCCGCTTTTCTTGGGGCCTCCCCACCAGGCCATCGCCTGAGGCCAGTGTATGCCTGGCACAGCCCTCCCCACCCGCCGCTTACAGGAGTGGGAGGTCTTCTCATGGAGGGTCTTGGCCTTGAAGGGCAGTTCAGTCTGGATGTAGGTCTTGGCCTTGACCTCTGCAGGCAGAAGGCGGTCCTCCTGCAGAAGCCGCTTGGCTGCCACAGCGCCCAGGTAGCCAGTGGCTGAAGACTTGGCCCCTGTGATGGGCGTCAGGCTGAGCTCTCGAGGGACCTGGGCGGGCCCCATTCCTGGCTTGCCAGGCCGGCCCACCAGGGGTGCCAGTGGCAGTGGGGCTTGTAGGGACCCTGGGGCAGCAGTAGGGGGCCCCTCCTCGCCCAGGGCTGGGGCCAGGTCCCCAGCAGGGGGCTCCTTCTTGATGAGGCACAGCTTGGACTTCTTCTTGAGGATCTCCCGCAGCGTGTCGATGGGTGAGCCATTGACAGACCACTCGGTCACGCCCATCTGCCGCAAGTGGGAGCGTGCATGGCTCGACAGACCCTTGCGGTTCTCAAAGAACTCGCCACAGAATTCGCAGCGGATGTCACGTGTCGGCTCGGCCCGGGATGCTGCAGAGGGTCCGGGTGGGGGGAAGGAGGAGGAGAAGGAGGTGGCAGCTGCAGGCAAGAAGCCTCTGAGCTTGACCCAGTGGCTCCAGACACAAATGGCTTACTTCCCATCTGCGCCCAGAGGCCTTGTCCATACCCAGTCCTGCTGCTTGCTCTCCTCAGCACAAATTCTAGCAGGCTTCAGGCTGCCTTCCTGGGACACCATGGAGGGAGCCAAGAAAGCACTGCCTAGGTTCTGGAGTCAAACACCAGTGTTGCTGCTGACCCTGTGTGATTCTGGGCAAGATGCTTCCTTTCCCTGAACCTCAGCTCCCTCTCCGTGAGCCTCTGTTTCCCCTCTGAACTTCAGTTTTCCCTCCCAGAGCCTGTTACTTCTTCCTAAGCCTCAATCTCCCCTTCCTGAGCCTCAGTTTCCTGCTCTGGAAAATAAGAGATTGAAACCTCCACCTCCCGGTGCTGCTGGAGGGTCTCCAGCAATAGCAGCCTGAGGCATGTGGCGCAGGGTGGGTGCATGTTGGTTGTCAACTCCAGGGTGCTTCAGTCCAGTGACTCCAAGTGGAGTGAGCACAGTGAGAAGCGAACGCCGGTGACATTACAACCTCTGCCTACGGAGCGCTTTCCTTCCCCAGGCACCTGGTGTAGCACCTGATCCCATTTGAACCTCAAGAAACCCTAAGGAGTTGGAACTATCTGACCTTCTTCCTCCAAATGTGGAAACTTGTTCAGGCTATGTATTGCTAGATTACAGAGGAACTGAGATCTTGGCTTAAGCCTGATTCCAAATTTTAAGCAATTACTAAAAAACAAAACAAAACAAAACAAATTGCTATTCGGTCAACCCCAACTCCTGGCGACCCCATGCGTGTCAGACCAGAACTGTGCTTCCTAGGGTTTTCAAGGCTGTAATGTTTCTGGAAGCAGATCACCAGGCCTTTCTTCTGTGGCACCTCTGGGCGAATATGAATCTCCAACCTTCTGATTAGTAGCTGAGCATAATAACTATGTGTGCCACCCAGGGGCCTCCTACTTAACCAGGAATGTCCGAAAAAGAAAAATAAAACAAATACTGTAGAGCCATCACATCACTTCCAGCCTGCCCACAGAGTCACTAATCGATCTCTATTGTCCTTCTGCCTCAGAATCTGTTTGGCAGCCACTACCATTGAAGGTGGGAGTTCTAGTGGCCTAGTGCCTAAGGCATTTGACTGCTAACCAGAAGGGTGGTGGTTCAAACCCATCAGCCATTTCTCAGAAGGAAGATTGGGCAATCTACTTCCGTAATGATACCACCTCGAAAATCCAAGAAGGGGTCGCTGTGAGTCGAATCAACTCGATGGCAGTGAGCTTGTTTGGTTTTTGGTGCCATTGAAGATGGCACAGAATCTTTGTGTTACTCCTGTATGACACAATTTGGCCCTAGGAGGGGGTATGAGTAGCAGGAATGGACAGCTACCCCATCATCCTCTGGACCTATATCGCCCCCATTCCATTTTACCTCTAGTGCTTGGGGTACCCCACAGGGAGGTGGGGAGGACCCCCTCCACTGTTGTCCCTGCCTTGCCCCAAAGTCACTTACACAGGTTCAAGGGGGTCATGTCTTCCCGAGACGCCGCCCAGGGCCCCTCAGATGGGTGCGACTCCCCGTGAAGAGCCCCTGGCAGCATCTCCCGCTTGATCTCCACCCGCATCTGTTCGGGCTTCAGCTTCTTGGGCCCCAGGGTGGGGGCAGCCAGGCCTGAGAACATCTTCCGGGCCGTAGGGGGTGGAGAGGTGGCTGGTGAGTGCCCCAGGGGACTGCCTGGTGGCGGCGGCAACTTCTTGGCCAGGGGTGAGAGGTGCAGATCGGCAGGGCCGCGGGATTCCATCGAGCTCCCCGGACCGCCCACCATCTTGGCCAGGGCCTTGGGACTGGGTCCCGGTGGGTTTGGGGCTCCGCCAGGTCGAGGGTGGGCCTGCTGTCTCTTGAGGATCTCCCGAAGCGTGTCGATGGGCGAGCCGTTGACGTACCACTCGGTCACGCCCATCTGTCGCAGGTGGGAGCGTGCGTGGCTCGACAGGCCCTTGCGGTTTTCGAAGAACTCGCCACAGAACTCACAGCGGATGTCTCGTGTAGGCTCGGGGCCCGAGGCTGCAGTGGGAGGAGGGGAGGAGAGAGAAACAGTTAGCACTAAGGGCAGGGAAGCTGGGGATGACAGTGCCGCCACCTCCAGAGAGTCCAGGCCAGCTGGGTGTGAGTGGCAGCTCGTCCACTTATGGGGTTGCGGTGGAGGGCAGGTGTGAACGAGGGGCTGAGGAGCAGGGCAGGGGCAACACAAGACTCTAAACTCTGAGGACACGTGCCAGCAAGGACAGGAAGGAGGGCACTAAGCAGCCTCTAGGTGCCACAGGCCTTCCAGATCAGGGACTGACTAAGGGTATGTTCCACACCAAAAGGCAGGACCCGCCCCCTGGCCTTCATTCTCAGGGAGGGTCAAGGTCATGGAGGTCCAAGGCCAAGAGCAAGGGCCCAGCAGCCCACCGCCAACAAGATCTCTGGGCAGTGCCAGGCCACTGCCCAGGGCCCGTCTCCTCCCTGCCCCCACCGGGAGGGGGCCATGACCCCCCGGGAGGGGCTCCAGGGCCCACAGGGAGGGGGGGCGGCTGAAGTGAGAACCTACAGAGGTTGAGAGGAGCCGGCTCCGCATCAGAGGCCCAGAAAATGCCGGCAGTGGCGGCGGCCGAGAGGTCCTGCTTCCCCCAGGGGCCAGCCGCACCCATGGCCTTCAGCTTGGCCCTCTTGGCCGGCGGTGGGTGGGGGAGCAAGGAGAGGGCTGCGGAGGTGGGAGGAGGCCGCCCAGGGTGGGCCAGGGCGCCGCGCCCCGATGGGAGGCGGAGGTGGACGCCGTCCCTCCTGATGAGCCCGTGGAGCACGTCTATGGGGGATCCCTTGGCGTCCGGGTCGCTGACGCCCAGGTGGCGCAGGTGGGCGCGGGCGTGGCTGGACAGGCCCTTGCGGGTCTCAAACCAGGCACCGCACAGCTGGCAGTCCAGCTCTCGGCCCCCGTCACTATCTAAAGCTGCGGAGACAAAACACAGGGGGGTTCACGGCCGCCACCTTGGCCGGCCCTGGGCTTGGAGGATGAAGGGTTGCAGAGACACTTGGCCGACCAGACAGCAGGGGGTCCAAGACTCAAGCTTCACAGGGACTACGAGGCTTTGGAAGGCAGGAGGGCCTGGTCACTACCTAGCTCTGGGGTACCGGCAGGAGGGTAGAGAGCTCAATGATTTGGGATGGAGAGGCAATGGCACCTCTAGGGGTCCTGGCAACAGGTGCTGCATGGGGCAGATGGCAGGGGCCTCACCTGGCTGCGTCCCACAGCCAAGGGCATACCTGCCCAGAGCCCTGCTCCTGGCACCTCAACAGACTTGGTGGAGGAAGAGCTTGAAGGGATAACACAGTGCCCCACTGGGCAGGGCGCTGGGTCCTGGGGCACTCCAACCCTAATGCCCACAATCTGTGGGAAGGTCTGACATCTTAAGGGATGCTCTAACTCTTGCCCACTGTGCCTGGAGAATTTTTCTCTGAACCTTATTTGCTGAGCCCACAGGTGTGGCTCCACCCCAGGCACAGCTGTCACCACCTGCTCCCAGCATGGGATAGCCAGGAAGTTGAGTGGATGAGGAGAGGAACATGAAGACAAGGTCACCTTCGAAGACCACCTATCTCCCTGCAGGACCCCAGGTGCAGCCCTAGTTACCTTATCTCCCCCTAACTGGGCCCAGGGAAGGAACAGCTGCCCCTAGGTGGTGAGGACACCCTGGGCAAGCTCAGTAGCTGGGGCCAGGCCTTAAGGGAAGAGCAGTGAGGGAAGGTGGGGGACAGAGGGACCTCTGCAGGTGGCCTGAAGGGAGAGTCAGCCACCCTCTGGCTTGGCAGACTGGGACGCAGGAGCTGCAGTCCCTGCTGCCCCCACCCTGGGCCCTCCCAGTGCCGGGACCCCCCTCGGCTCCTGGGACCCACACTCACTGAGGTTTAGGGGCCCCTCATCCTCCGACTGGGGCCACTGTGCCTTTGGGGAGGCCGGCCGGGGGCTCAGGGACAGCTGGGGGCTCTTGTCCTCAGGGTTCTTCGGGGCTGGGGAGCCCCCCAGGGCCAGCGGTGTCTTCTTGAGGAGTGGGGAGCTAGGGGGGTGGGACAGGCCCTTGGCCAAGAAGCCAGGTGGTGACTTGATGGCTTTGTTGACAGCGGGAGCATCCAGGGGCTTGGCCAAGGTGAGTAGGCCAGGCCGCGGAGCCCCGGTGACCACCTCCTTCGGCGAGCTGGACTTCTTGGCCAGGCCTGGGGGCAGCCCAAGAGGTGCGTCGGGCAGGCCCTTCTGCTTGACGAGCTCGTAGAGGAGGTCAATGGGGGCACCACTGCTCTCCGACTCAGCCACGCCCAGCTGCCGCAGATGGGAGCGCGCGTGGCTTGATAGGCCCTTACGTGTCTCGAAGCAGGCGCCACACACCTCACAGGTGGTCAGGCTCTGGGCTGGAGGGCAAGATGGAGGTCCGGAGGGCAGGTAATGAGGCCACCTGGGCCCTGGTCACCCACAGCCACTCCCCATCCCCACTCACCCCAGGAGATCCCTTAATCCTTACAATCACCCTATTGAGGCGGGAATGGGCTAGTCCAGTTTGCAAATATGGAAACTGAGTCTCAGAAAAGGGAAGAGTGTGCCCAAGGGCATGCGATAGGAGGGAGCCCCCTACACCTGGCCAGTGAGACTCCTTTCAGATCTCCAATACACCCAGAGATCCTGGTAACAGGTTTCACATAAACTGATCCACCAGCCCCCCTAGGCGGCTCAGCTTGTGCTCTCAATGGTGGGCTGGTGGCCCTGGGCCCAGTGGGCTCTGTACTCCTCTGCAAAGCCCTCACCCCAGCATATCCGTGTCTTTGCCCCCCAACTTTAATGACTTCGAGGGCCAGATCCATGTCTGTTTTGTTCACCTCATATCCCTGGGGTCTAGCGCGATGCCTGTCACTATGCAGTAACAGCCTCAGGACCAACAGACGGACAGATCAGGGTCTTATGGAAGATCACACAAGATTGCATAAGGACGACAGAGTCAGCAAGTGACCGAGTTTGAACACAAGCTCCTGACCACCACACTTATTGCTTCTCAGCGTGCCTTCCTTAGAGGGCCTCAGGGGGTCGGAGAGAAAGCTGAGGCCACCCTAAGGCTGCACACTAGGGCCCAGGCCCAGAAGACCCCCATGAGTGTGACTAGCATTCCTGCCCCGCCTGCTGCCTGGACCACTCACCCTTGAGGTCTGGCAGCTCCTGCTTGCTGCCATGGGGAACCTCTGCAGCCACTTTGCTGCTCAGCCGATTGGCCACCTGCTCCAGGGGCCCAGGGACAGGTAGGCTCTTCTTGGGGAGCAGAGGAGAGCCCAGGTCCATGGCCACCATTGCATTCTCCTCAGAACCCAGGCCTGTGGGGTTGGGGAGACAGGCTCAGCTCAGGCCAGCCTAGAGTCCCAGAAGGACTGAGATGGGGACACTTCGTACTCATCCTTGGCCCCACCCATCACCCCCAGCATAAATGCGGTGCACAGACACCTAAACCACCCACTGAGAGCAGAGGCAGCTTCCACCCCCAGAAGGCAGACAGGCCAGAGGCAGTGCTAGTTTGAGCTGAGATGCCCTTCCACAGGTCTCTGGACAGAACTTGGCTGGGGGGAGGATCTGCCAGTCTTGGGTAGGGGGCAGTCAGGACAACAAGGGATGGGCAGGATCAGAGGCCAAAAGCAAGGTGGGGAGCAGAGGAGAGGGAATTTCCACTAGAGAAGGCAGCAGAGGCTGTGTCTGCAGAGACTGTGGGGAGTCGGGGGTAGTCTTCTTATCACAAGCTGAGCCCCAAGTGGGGTATAGTGAGAATGGTGAGCCTGGACCAGCACTGATCTGACTGGGGACAGACAGAACAGGATTCACAGAACTTTGTGGGAACTTTCTAGACAACTGTCAGGCCAGGGAACTTCCTGGGGCGAGGAGTGCGCAGGGAAAGAGAGTTAAGGATGGGTTTGCCTGGTCTAAGTTTTTAAAGAAAAAGTCCTGGGAGGCCTAGTGAGCCCCAAGATTAGAGTTTCAGGGAAGAAGAGGCTGTGTGTCAGACGGGCCACAGAGATGGATACAATGGGGGCAGGGGGCCAGGCAGGTCCTGTGCTCAGTTTGAGTTCTAAAGGAAGGAGGAAGAATGGAGACGACAGGTCCGAGGCCATCCAGGACTTTGTCAAAGTCTCCAAGTGGGATGGGCGCGTCTGTCAGATGGGGCAGGGACTGCATCAGAGCTAAGGTAGCTAGCTGAAAGTGAGTTTCTGCGAGCGAGGGGCCCAGGACCGTGGCGGGGCGCTCTTGGGGCTCCACGGGAAGAAAGATGAGTCTGTCACACGGGGTGTGGGTTCCCGGAGCGGCGGCGGGGAGTTTCCGAGGCCGGGGCCCGGCAAGCGGCGACAGTAGGCCCGGAGCCCGCGCGACTGATGGGCCGGGAGCAGTGGGGGTCCCGGAGACGCAACGGCGGGCGGCGGCAGTGGCGGCGGCAGGGCAGGGCGGACGGCGGACTTTCCCTCCCCGTCCTCTCTGGCATGGGCTCTTACCGGGAGCGGGCGCAGGCGCCGGCCCGGGCCCCGGCTCGGCCTTGGGCCCGTCCCGCGGCGGCGGCGG